TTTGTGCTGGGCACAGTACAGGTTCATTTCTAGCTGTGTCAAGTCTGATGTGGGTTGAACATCTCTTCTTGGCTCTTCTCTGCCATGCAAAGCACATGGTGTCCAGGGAAATGAGAAGGGAAGAGGTCCCAGTCTCAAGTTCCCAAGTCTGGAAGTGACCCTTGTACTCACAGATCCCATAACAAGGGAGGCTGGCAATTCGGGGCACTGTTTTCAGAGTCCTGTCTCGCTTGTATTCACCCAAGTCAGGGTTAGGACTTCCTTCCCAGAGTACTGGGAAGGCAGCCAAGGTTTTCACACAGAGTAGTGACAAGATCCAACCTGCGTTTTACAAAGATTTCTCCTGCTGGAGTCAGAGTCAGCCCTGATGTGGGGGAGTGGCAAACCATCTGGTGGCCTGTGGGAAGTGGCCAGAGTGGGAGTTGGTCACAGCCAAGGCACAATATATTTGCAGTTAACTGGTACAACTTCCACCTCACAGGCACAGCTAAAAATAATAATGATGATAATGTGAGAAAAATTAGTTCATGTAATTAAAAAAAAAAAAACTATGCAATTACATTTTGTGTAAATCCTCATCTAAACTAGGAGTTTTTGATTTTGTTTTTTGGTGCTGGGGATTCAACCCAGGACCTCACACTTGCTAAATAGGAGCTCTACCACGGAGCTACACCTCTAGCCCTAGATTGGAGATTCTACATATTTAACACATATACTACTGGGCAGCCTGAATCCCTAAAGCCAGGATACTGTAGTCTATGAGCCTCTTGGGGTCCTTCCTGACTTGACCCCATCCTTAAGACCCCTTGCTGCCTTGAAAACCTCATTGTCATGGAAAATGCCTTCTACTCAGAGTCCTTAACTGGGACCCAATAACAACAGTGAGGACCCTTGTGTCAAAGGGATTTCATGGTCAGGCTCTGCCTGTTATCATAGCTACTCAAGAGGTTAAGGCAGGAAGATTGCAAATTTGTGGCCAGTCTGGGCAACTCAGGGAGAACCTGTCTACAGTTAGGGGGGTGGTGCTGGGATGTACCTTAGTAGTGGAGTACTTCCTTAGCATGCAGGAGGGTTAGGGTTCAATCCCTACCACCACAAACAAAACAAAACCAAAACAAGGGATTTCCTACTGCTTCCAAACATCCTGGTGCCCTGCCTCTGTCAGACTGGGGGCATTTTTTTTTTTTTTTGCTGAGTCTGACTCCCACTTGCCTGTAGTTCTTTATATTTTCTAAGCTGTTTCTTTCTTTTTTATTTTTTTTTCAAAGAATGAGAGAGGGGAGAGAGAGAGAGAGAGAGAGAGAGAATTTTTTTTTTAAATATCCACTTTTTAGTTCTTGGCGGACACAACATCTTTGTTTGTATGTGGTGCTGAGGATCGAACCCGGGCCGGACGCATGCCAGGCGAGCGCGCTACTGCTTGAGCCACATCCCCAACCCCTCTAAGCTGTTTCTTTATTTGAGCCTTAGAATCTGATGAGACCTAATTTAGATGAAGGAACTGAGAAGTCAGAGATAGCTTGTCCCATGGTAGCTAGGATCCCTGGCAAAAACCCCTGATGGGGAGTTGGAAGTGAATTGTGGCCTTGTGGCCACAGATTAATTTATTTACTTATTTTTTACTAGGGATTGAATCCAGGGGTGCTCTATCACTGAGGTATACCTATACTCCTTTTTATTTTGGAGACAGGGTCTTGCTAAGTTGCTGAAGCTAGCCTGAAACTTGTGATCCTCCTGCCTCAGCTGCTTGAACAGCTAGGTTTACAGGAGAGTGCCACTGTGCCTAGCTGTGGCCATAATTTTAGCTGTATAATTTCAGTACTCTGATATGGATAAACTGAACATACGTGTTATGTTTTGGATGTGAGGTGTCCCCCAGAAGCTCATATATGAAACAATGCAAGGTTTAGAGGAGAAAGGATTGGGCCATGAGAGCCTTAATTCAATCACTGAATCAATTCCCTGATGGGATTAACTGAGTGGCACCTGAAGGTGGGTAGGGTGTGACTAGAGGAGGTGGGCATTGGGGACATGCCATTTGGGATATATATTAATATATATAGTCTTCACTTATATCTGGCAAGTGGAGACTCTGCTTGCTGATCATCATGTGAGCTGCTTCTCTCCACTACACTCTTCCACCATGATATTATGCCAAGGAATGGGGCTGGCTTTCTATGGACTGAGACCTCTGCAACTGTGAGCCCCTGAATAAATTTGTTCTCTTCTTAAATTGTTCTTGTCAGGTCTGTAGTCACAGTAGCAAAAAATCTGACTAAAACAGCAACTTTCTGGAAAAAAGGTCTCACTCAGTTGTTGAGGATGGCTTGAATTTGCAATCCTCCTGCCTCAGCTTCCCTGTCTACACAAAGCTATTTTGAAGCTCCAACATAGCAATGTTGGTGGGAGCATTTTGCAATCTGTGAAGCATTGTCTAAAAGGTATTCTCAGATTTTGTATGTCATTGAAAGTTTTTGAAGGTAGTCATGTCAATGCATGCCTATAATTCTAGCTACTCAGGAGGTTGAGAAAGGAGGATCTCAAATTCGAGGTCAGCCAGTTCAAGGCAATTTATGTCTCAAAATAACAAGGGCTGGATATAGCTTAGTGGTAGAGTGCTTGCCTAGCATGCAGAAGGCCTTGGGTTCAATCCCCAGAACACACACAAAACAAAAGTTTCTAAGTCATGCTGAAGGCATACATGTGGAAAATTAACAACTGAGTGAGTGTATGCCCTCAATTATTATGTCCTGAGGCTACTCTTACACTCTTTGAATTTAATTTCTTAAATTACCCTTATTTTGGGGGGAGCTTTGCTCCATTTCCTGCTGACCATATTCCTGGCCCTTATTTCTTTTAGTGGTGAGAACTGGGGTGGAGGCAGGACATTTAGTAGAGACTTTTCTGTAAGCCTTACAACTAAATTTCAGTGACATGATTAAAGGTGAGTGGAAAAAAATGAATTCAAGGTATAGAATCTAGACTGAAATCGTGAAGAGCTTAAATGGACCTTGAAGTGAACCAGTGGACATTTGCTCACCTAGAAAGTGAAGATGCCAGCTCTGGTTTGATTGTTGCCTTGGTGGCAGCATGTAGTGCAATATAGCTAAATATTCAGAATTTGTGGAAAAGTCTGAAGTCATTATTTTTTGGGGGTACTGGGGATTGAACTCAGGGGCACTCAACCACTGAGTCACATCCCCAGCCCTTTTTTGTATTTTATTTAGGGACAGGTTCTCACTGAGTTGCTTAGTGCCTTGCTGTTGCTGAGGTTGGCTTTGAACTCTTAATCCTCCTGCATCAAGGATTATAGGCATGATCCACCGCACCCAGTTTGAAGTCATTAAATGTGAAATTATCACATTTTTCAATCTCAGAGCAACAGCATACTGTCTGTAGTTTGTTCATGAGTCTGTTGATTAGCCTGGGATCACTGCTCTGGGCTTCACTTTTGTCATTTATAGATCGGTGATGATTCCATCATCCATAGGATAGCAGACCAGATGAGAACAAAATGTCCAGCCTGCCACACCACACTGGGCCTGATTTTGGTAATTCAGTGGGAAATGTCAGTTTATGTTATGTTAGTAGGACAAGTAATCCCCAAGCTTCTGAATTTGGAGTTCTAGTCCATCTGGGGCCTGCCATCCATATGATTATTAAAGGAATTACGGGATTACCCAAGTCTTTTCCAGTTTGGTGATAAAGGTTTTCAGTATTTTTCTGGAGGTACTGGGGATTGAACCCAAGGGTGCTCTACCACTGAAATACCTCTCCAGCCCTTTTTATTTTTATTTTTTTAAAATTTTGAGATAAGAGTTTTGCTAAATTGCCCAGTCTGGCCTGCAGTCTGTTTCCTTCACCTTCCTGAGGCGCTGGGATTACAGGCATACACCATCGCGCGGGGCTGGTTTTAAAATATTTTTAAGTTAGGAAACGAGAACTAGTTCTTCACCCCCAAAAAACTCATTTAACGGGAATGAAATATTTTTCTCAAGAACGAATTCAGCAAAACTAAGTAAATGTAAGGAAAAATGTTAACTAACACAAGGTAAATGTGATCTTAATCATGAGTGGCGCCAGGCGCCCAGAGACTGGGAAACACCATGGTCCCACCGTTCTCGGTGCGAGACACCTGGCGAAACCTCCTAACTCTTTATTACTGGGGGAGAAGGCAGAAAGGGCGAGAGCGCAGGTCTTTCCGATCACCAAGGTTCAGGGGGTAGGTGGGCTCCATCCCAATCACTCCAAACGGTGCTGAGAGCTTTGGAGATAGCAACACACCCTATCTCGGAAGCTCGTGTTCTGCTACTTCATCCGGGCGACCTTGGGCTTCGAGACTTCTCCCGCTCAGTTTCCTCTTGGGAAACGGGACGACCTAGGCTGCCAATGTGTGTGGGGGCGCGTACGAAGGCTAGCGATTTGAGCTCCAGAAAGTAGAGGGTCCGCCTGGAGCCTGCAAGATTTTGGACACAACGCCTTTCCCGTCGACACTCCGAATCCTCAGCCGAGCCCAGACTCGCGCGCGTTCTAAAATGAGGACAAAGCCCTCCCCTACCTGGAGCGCGCGCGCTGTCGTGGCCAATAGGAAGCCGAAATAAGGGTGAGTGACGGGAGGAGCCAGCCAGTGAGCATGCGTTTTGTTGCGAGGTGTCCCCCGGCTCCAGTATTATAAAGAGCTCCACGAGTCGGCATTGTCAGGCGGCGGCACCGCGCGAGTCGGACCTGGGCTGTGGTCCGTGGGTTCTGTGTGGCGGCGGCCGAGGAGGAAGAGGGAGCTCCATTGGAGCGGCTCCGTCAGTGGACGGAGGCGAGGTCCCGGCAGCGCGAGCTTGAGCGCGGCCGAGCCCGCGGCGCCTTCCCCGGCGGGTGGGGACAAGTGGGCCCCGCGGCGTCATCGGCGGCGAGGTGAGCGACCGGGCCGCGGGAGGCGGGCGGGAGCTCGGGCAAGAGTCGTGCCGGCCTGACGCGCTGTCGCCGCGTGTGGTCGCTCGTTGCAGGAGCCGCCGCGGCCTGCCCTACCATGTCGGAAACGGGCGAGGAGCAGCCCATGGAGACTACGGGCGCCACTGAGAACGGACATGAGGCCGCTCCCGAAAGCGAGTCGCCGGCAGGGGCTGGCACTGGAGCAGCCGCGGGGTCTGGAGGCGGGACCTCTGCGCCCCCGAGCGGGAATCAGAACGGCGCCGAGGGCGACCAGATCAACGCCAGCAAGAACGAGGAAGACGCGGGGTAGGTGCGGTCGCGGGCGGACGGGGGCGCCGCCTTTGTTCCGGGGCCGCCTTTTGTTGGCGCCACGCGGCGGGGGGAGGGGCGGTCGGACCGGACCCCGCCACGCTCACTGCTCAGCTCTTGAGCTGCTACTCGCTCTGGAGTTTGCAGGAGTTTGTTGGGTCGACTTTGGCGCCGCCCCGGGGCCGCCCGCGCGCTGCCGGGCCGAAGTCGTCTCCGGGGCGGGCGGCCCGGAAGAGGGAAAGCGCTCGGACCCGTTCCCCGGCCGGGTCTAGGGCTGCGCAGGGGCTGTGTGGGCGGAGTGTTGGCGCGCGCCTGGGCCCAGGCCTCCCTCCTCCGCCTCTTCCCGGGGGCGGAGTCATAGTCTGAACTCTGGGCGGTCTCGGCCCCAGGAAGCTTCGAGTTCCTTGCAACAAGTTTTTGGAGGTGGTGAAGACTGGAAGGGACGCTAGCCCATAGATTCGTGGTGGTTGGACACCTTATTTTCAGTTTTGAGTGGTCTGGGCCTATACCCCTGGCAACGTTTCCGTTTTCGCTCAGAGCCTGGGACTGCGTGGTGTGGTTAAACGATACTGAGATCAGAGGGCAGTGGGGTCCAAGTTGAATTGAGATTGGAGGACAATAGAATTTAACATTCCTTAAAATGTAGTGCCCTTGTAGACTCTTAAGGGTGGGTGTAGACTTTGTCTACAGGATGTTGGCTTTATAATCATTTCATTGAAAGCTTAGCCAGGGTTAGTCCTTAAAATCACAGCTTTTCTTACAAGATTTGTTGCCATGCATCTCTACCATTTCAGAAAAATGTTCGTTGGTGGTCTGAGCTGGGATACCAGCAAAAAAGATTTAAAGGACTATTTTACTAAATTTGGAGAGGTCGTGGATTGTACAATAAAAATGGATCCCAACACTGGACGGTCAAGAGGGTTTGGGTTTATCCTCTTCAAAGATGCTGCCAGTGTGGAGAAGGTAAGCTGGGTATCAGCAGTCTCAATGTATAGGATACTGTTGTACAGAATGTTTAGCTTGTGTGCTGTGCAGCTGAGTGCTTTGGGACAAGTAGGTTAGGAACGTCACATTCTTGTTTTTGAGGGATTAATACAGGTTTAATGGGAAGTAAGTGATGAAATGGTTCAGGAAGAGTATTGTTGGTGTTTGTTTCTTTTTATGTACATATTTCTGGACACCATGCTGAACATTTTACTGTGGGTATTAGAACTGAGTCAGATTATTATGAGGATAAGCATTTAGCTTCATATAGGAAAAAACAAAATCCTAAGCCTCAAATTTTAGTGGAAGAGATCACGTAGTTATAGGTAGAGTGAGAATTCCAATCCCTAGCAGCCTGACTAAGTCTGCTCATAATCACTGCTCCTTTATTGGAAAAAAATGGGCCCTACATTGGGACTGCTTGGGCAGGGTGGGTAAGGGCTCAGTGGGCTATTACTGACTTCGGAGAAGTCATTGACTATACAATAAAAATAGATCCCAGCACTGGATGGTGAAGAGAGTTGGAGAGGAGAGGAGAGGACTGATTTATAGGTGTTTAGGTGAACCAGGTGTTTTGGAAGCTTGGAGAAAGTTGGGTTGGAAGATGGGCTGGGGTGAAGTTTGGAGGACATGAAGCACATTTTGTGTACCTGTGTGGGAATCTTGAGGCTTAGAGAGAAGGGCCTCCATGGTCATTTACTGAATAATAACCTGATCCCTTCTGTTTGAAACAGGTCCTAGACCAGAAGGAACACAGGCTGGATGGCAGGGTAATTGACCCTAAAAAAGCCATGGCCATGAAGAAGGACCCTGTCAAGAAAATCTTTGTAGGGGGTCTGAATCCTGAAGCCACAGAGGAAAAGATCAGGGAGTACTTTAGAGAGTTTGGGGAGGTGAGTGTGGTGGCCTCAGGAGTGGTCTGCCAGCTGCTCTGAGACTGCTTGCTTCCTTCTTGGTCCATCCTTGGTAGTCTTGGCTAGTTGGAGCCCTCAGTAGGGCTTTCTTACTCTCTGGCCTTTTAATGGGTCTTCTCTCCAATAGTTTATACGCATTGGTAGAAGAGGTTTGGTTCTGAGCATTGTTTGTTTTTACAGATTGAGGCCATTGAGCTTCCAATGGATCCCAAGTTGAATAAAAGACGGGGTTTTGTTTTTATTACTTTTAAAGAAGAAGATCCTGTGAAGAAAGTTCTGGAGAAAAAATTCCATACTATCAGTGGAAGTAAGGTATGGTGTTTTAGCTGTGTATGCTCATCTTTCTGTTCCTGGAAAGCTGGCTCTTGCAGATGTGGGTTAGGTTGGGCTATGTCAGAGATTAATTAGCAAGTTAGTTGTTCTCCAAAGTATGCACTTGACTTGACTGGAGCAGGTGGTCTTTTAGAACTTATGCAATTCAATAGACTACCTTTTATGGTGAGGATTTTGAGGATTTGCCCTGTTCCTGATGACCTCTTTTTGTTCATCTTGGGATATATCCCTTTGAGCACTGCTCTAGACAATCTTTCCACAGGCAAAGATCCTAAAAGAGCATCTGGGGACCAGGCCAGCTTAAATCCAGGACCAGTTTTGCCTTCATATGTGGAGTCATGTGTAGTGAAAGGTGTACCTCCTCCCCTGAACTCTGGTAGAGGAGAGAATAGTTTAAGCTTCAGGATGGCAGTTAGCAGAGTTAAAGGTGTGGCCCTCTGTGGCTGGGTGTGGTAGGCTGTGTGTCTCAGCAGGAGTGGAAGTCAGGTGGGACAGGTAGGGTGGGGCTTCTAGAAGTCCCCATCCTGGCTAGGAGTTTAGAAAGCTCCAAATAGGGATTAGGTCCCTAAATGTTTTGTAAAATAAGCAGGTGAGATGCGAGTTGTTCCTACAGTGGACAGTGACGGACTGCTTTATGTGCATGCGAACAAAGCAGTGGTAAGAGTCTTTAAGCTAACATTTTAATGGTGAGTGTTACAAATAAGTATTCAGTTGAGTGTAATCAACTCAATTTTTAATTAAATGGGATAGAAAACAGACATCACTTAGCAGGTTCAAATGTCAATTAAATGAATCTTATGTGGGGATACACAGTGTGTAGTGATTTTTACTGTTTTTAATGGAGGTGTCTGTCAATATTTTCCTTAAGTACCACTGATTTATTTTATCGGACACAATCCCCATCCCCTTGCCCAGTGCAGATGTTGGGCAGGAAGGAAACTGACCCTCTGGGCCTGTGGTGGGGATGTAGACATGGCCTTATCCCAGCGGTAGGCTAGTGCTTGGAAGAGCAGAGGGATGGGTGGCATTGTGGTCTCAGGCAAAGCCCCATGCTGAGCCTCAGAAACTGTGATGGAGGTCAGGGTTTTCTCAGTAGAATATTTGGGTGGGATGAGTTTCTTCTGTAAAAAGAGAAAAGAAAGAAAAATGAAATGTCTCTAGTGCCCAAGACCTCTCTGAAAAGTCTTCTGGTCTTCTTGTTCAGCAGGACAGAGGTGGTGCCAACTCCCAGGCCATCTGTCCTCTGTTCCCCTGATGTCTGGTGTGTCTTGCCCTCCTGGGCTGTAGTTGGTCCAGTGCATTTTCCTAGGAAAGGTTCTCTTAAAGAAAGGCCCTGGGTTTTAGTTGGTTTTAGGAGCTTTTAGCACACATGGATTTCTGCCCCAGCATATTTTGAGCAAATTGACATGCCCAGTCTACCATCTGAGTGTTGCAGTGAAAATCTTTGTTCTGAGCTAGCCTCACTGGCGTGACCCACTGTCTTTTTGGCTTTTAGTGTGAAATCAAGGTGGCCCAGCCCAAAGAAGTCTATCAGCAGCAGCAGTATGGCTCTGGGGGCCGAGGAAACCGCAACAGAGGGAATCGAGGCAGTGGTGGCGGTGGAGGTGGAGGTAAGTGAAACTTCAGTGAAGATGGGTCCTGTTTCCCTGCCTGTAAGATGCCTTCTGTGCCTGTTTTGGGGTTGCCTCTGGTGTTCTGTGCAGCATGGGTGGGCAGGCAGTGTGTGAAATGGGAATGGGACAGGAATAGGAATGGTTTTCCTGGGTCAGCTGTGTGCTTTTGCTGCTGTGGCTCCTGGAATGGAAGAGACCTGTCTGTCTTCACTTGTGCGGCTTGGGGCCCCAGGGCAGAGGGAGCATTTGCATTGCATTCTGGGCGGGGGCATGATGGGTTGTGCTTGGCTCTGTGGCTGTCCTCTGAGTCTTGTACACACAGGGGCCAGTGGGCAGAAGGGTAGGGCAGAGCTGTGCCAGGCGCTTACCTCCTTCCATCACAGGCCCTCTGACTCCAAAGCCTGAACTGCATCTTTTTCAAGGCCAAGCTGCCAGGGAGGGGTGGGGGTGATCAGAGGGTGACTTGAGTAAGCCACTTGTACCCCAGGTGAAGTTAGCATCCTGGCCTCCTGATCCCGTCTCAGGCCCAGAGCTGGGCCCAGGGCCCTCTAAAAACAGAAAGCAGCCCCATGGCTTCTGCCTGAGTTGCCATTGTAACCCCGCCACCCAAAGGGCAGGATTTCCTCCATCCTAGCTCCTGCGTGTGCTAAATGGTCCATGGGCCCCTGTGCCCTGCTCCCCCCACAGGTCAGAGTCAGAGTTGGAATCAGGGCTACGGCAACTACTGGAACCAGGGCTACGGCTACCAGCAGGGCTACGGGCCCGGCTATGGCGGCTACGACTACTCGCCCTATGGCTATTACGGCTACGGCCCCGGCTACGACTACAGTAAGTAGGAGAGGGAGGCCCTATCCACTCCCCCACCAGGGGGGCAGGTCAGACAGTGCAGGGGCCACTGGCAGCAGGGGCTTTGGAGTCAGACAGGCCCTGGCTCAGGCACTGGAGCTACCCAGTGGAGTTCTAGCTCCAGGGCCTCAGTAAAATAGAGGTGATCCCTACTGTACAGGGTTGAGGATCCTGTGAGGATGCGTGTCAAGCGCCTGGCACAAGGTAAATGCTCAGTAAGTAGTAGCTGCTACGTTGTTCTTGTCCCTAGGTCAGGGTAGTACAAATTACGGGAAGAGCCAGCGACGCGGTGGTCATCAGAATAACTACAAGCCATACTGAGGCGGCAGCAGGAGCAGCTGACTGACTGACCGCACACGCTTTGTTGGATACGGAGTGAACGCAATTATGTACCAAATTTAACTTGGCAAACTTTCTATGGCCTGTCCCATGTGCATCTTATTTAAAATTTCCCCCCTGGAAATCACTCTCCTGTTTACTATTTCCAGAGCTCTAGTTGTTTTAGGCAGCGTGTGGTGTCTCAGGCCAGAGCGGCATTAGGGGTTGATTTTATTACCAGGTTACCTAGAACCAGGTTGGAGGGTCTGCTTCCTGCTGCCGCTCTGCAGCCTGGACCTGTGGACCCTGGTTGTAAAGAGTAAAATGTATCTTAGGAAACCAGTGTCACCTTTTTTCCCACCTTTTAATTTTATATTATTTGTGTCATACATTTCCTGTAATGGAAGTGTTAATTTTACTGTACTTTTTGGTACCTTTTGGGAATCTAATGTATTGTAAGGTATTTTACACGTGTCCTGATTTTGCCACGACCTGGATATTGAAGCTATCCAAGCTTTTGAAATAAAAATTTTAAAACCCCCAAGCCTGGGTGAGTGTGGGATATGCTGTGAGACCTCTTACCCAGAGTATGGGTGCCAGGTGCTCTGGGGCTGGGGCCTTCTCCCATAGCAAGGTCTTTCAGATGCTGACCCAGTTGTGGGTTACAGCTTGGATGAAGGACCTGACTACTGACCTTTTGTGAGCTGTTTTGGGTCTATATTCTCTCCATCTCTGGAGAGCATCCTGTCAGGCATATACACCCTACACATCCATGGTTGGTTTTCTCAGCATAGAAAGCTCACTGAGGGAGGAAATGGCTATTCCTGCCCTCTCATCCTAGCCAACAAGTACAGGCCAAGTTTTAGAGACTTTCTGGTGGGGATGGGTAGATAATACCCAGGGAAGTAAGAGCTTCCCACTTTTGAAAAAAGTAACCTGTGAGAAGGATCTATAAAGAATGTTTTAGAAGGTTCATTTTGCTAAGGATAATGGCTGTTGATGGTAAGAAACCATCTCTGGGTCTCTTAAGAACAAGAGGCAAGGCCCACTCACCGGGAGGATGTTTGACTGAGCAGGGCTGAAGTCTCAGTGTTTCACAACTTCTTACCTTCTCTTCCATATCTGAAAAAGACCACAAAGCCACCCCAATGGAACACCTTTCTCTGGAGCCCTCAGTGTCCAAAGCTGCTTGGATAGCAGTTTAGAGACTGGGCCCACCTACATGGCCAGTTTCATACCTGACCCTTACTCACAGAGGTGGGCTAGCAATTTCTTGGAAGGGAACCATATATACACCTGGAAAACATAAGCCAGCCCTCAGTTCTCTTGTTACTTTCAGGCTGTGTCCAGGAGTCCTAAACCACTTCTGTAGCTGGTTAGCTTCTGGTTTGTTAGGCTCCCCACAAATAACACTGTCCATCAGAACCCCTACCATCTCAAATTGTCTAGCAGGAATTGGACTTTGTTCAGCTCCAGGGCCCTGGGCATATGTATACCTGTGGTCAGCAAAGAAGTAACCCAGAGGTGGAAGGGAAAGACTACCTTTGATATGTTCCACAGATAATTTTGCCTATATGGGGGTCTCAAAGGTCTCCATAAATGGTATACAGACTCAACAGGGCTTAATCTCAGTTTGGTAGAGATGTAAATAGATTGAGGGGAATACACTGGGCTTATTTTTGACCATTCTAGGTGATTGGAGAAGAAGTTTATTGTTGTCCAGTCTCTGAACGAATCTCATTTCAGCCACCCCCCAGCTAGGTGAATGTGTTCCTAGCTTCCAGTATAGAAGGAAGCTGCTGCCATCTGTGTCTCAGGGTGACTTTAAGCACATGTAATGGGGTCTAGCCTAGGCAGGTGGGTTGGCTGGTGGCTTGATGCCCAAAGGGCTAGAAAGCTCTTTTAGGTTCAGGCAGGAATAGGAGAGGCTTGGCTGGAAGGCCCTTCGCAAACTTGGTGTGTGTCTAAAGGATATCCTGTCGTCTTCTGGGCTCTCATGCCCCTTAGTGCATGCTGGGGGCTCTAGGTAACATGGTCAGTTGCTGCTCCAAGCTCACCTGTCAGAATGGCATCCAGTTTTGTCACCACCAGTTGTGCATTGTCCAGGCTGAAACACATTGGGGGCTTAAACTTCAGAATGTTCCTTCCAGGGCCATCAGCACTTAGCAAAATGTAGTTTTCCTTCAGCCTGTGAGGACAGGACACCCCTTTGACATTCAAGCCTTCTTCATCCTCACTTTGGCTTAATGTCCAGGATTCAAGCTACATTGTCTTCAGAGTCCTTCACTAGACACTTCCCACCAAGACACTGCCCTGTCCACCCTGCCAAAGTCCTGCTCATCCAGTGGCCCAGCATTAATGGCCCTTGTCTGGAATGTACTTGGCTCTGCTGTCCCCAAAATGGGTCTGACTTCTCCAGTCTATACCAAGCCAAGACTGACCCGGGTTATTGACAATGCCTGTATTTCCCTTTTGTGCATGGTTTGTGGTGTGTAGTATGTCCCCTTTCTAATGAAACATGTCTAACATGAATGGAATGAGAATTCTGTAACATTTGCCAAGCTTCAGTAACTTCCCTCCTAGGGTAACTTGTCATCCCAGACAGGACTATTAATTTCCCATTCTTTTTGGGAAGATGAATAATTTTTAATATTCCACATTAATATTTGGATATTTTGGCCACTGACAAGGGTCTCGAATGATTTGTGTTTTGACTTATGCTCCCTTTCTTTTTTATTTTTTATTGTTAAAATATTACGGGGGTGGGGTGGGGGCTTGTTTTTCAATTTGTCTTCTGGCTTCTTTTTCCTGTTCTGTTCTTTGCAGCACATTGGAAATAATAAAGTTTGAACTGTGGATTCTCCCCTGGGCCTAATCTAGCTCTGCCACCTAGCAGGGTCACTGCAGGTGGAACACCTATCCCATATTTACTGTTGTGAAGGTGTAAGAATTAACCCGGTATCTGGCTTCTCTGCCACCTGACCATTCAGAATCTCCAACGCTCATTGTGAAGATGTTGGGTGAGCTGGCAGGGACTGGCCACTGCAAACATTTGAGGGAAAGGATTTACATTAATATGGTATAGGGTGAATTAGCACACAAGATTATTCAAATTATGAAACATTCATAAAGGCATACCAGAGGGGGTTTCTGTTGTGGGGGGGGGAAGGTAGGAATGGGGAGTAGAGATAAAGAGGACAGTAATAGGGGAAGAGGTCCTGAGGCCTTAGGTCCTGCCTGGGCTTCAAGTGAAAGACCCCAGGTTAGGAGGCTGGTAGAGTGAGCCCCAGCTGCACACCTCCAGTCCAGATGAAGAGTGGGAAACCATTCCATCAACCTGGCACTCTGGGAATGGGGAGTCCCCCCAGTCTTGGTGGTATAGTAGCCCTCAGATGAAGCTTTAGGAAAGCTATTTCCTTCTCCAGCCCTGTGTGAAATTTAGGGCTTCCTGGCATTGGGTACATGGCTGACAGAGCTATAATTTCCTGTCCTGAGAGCTCAGTTGAGAGGGTCAGATCAGCTGCCTCTGCCCCTCAGGCCCAGATACTATAGCTGTTTAGCCAGGTTTGTGGGAACAGGGTGGACAGAGGGAGGCTTCCTCCTATTCAAGGCCCTAGGTTGTGCAAAGAGGCATCATGGTGATTTCTACTTTAGAAGGCAACTTGAAGGGAAAAAATACCTGGTTATCACATAGTCAGCCTCTTGGGTTGCTGGCATCCTCGTGGCCTCATCTTGGACCAGATCCACACCAATGAAGAGTCCAACACCCCTGGAAAAGTTGACATCTCAGAAGGCCAGGTCTAAAGGCCACCATCCCTGCTCATATTTTGCCTGGGTCTCAACCAGACACCCCTGTTGGAACTATCTGGGACTGTCCCTGTGCCTCCTGTGGAGGCAGAGAGCCTAGGAACCCTTGGAATGGATGCAAACAGTTCTGGGGAATAACTGGGAAGGGATGGGGGCTGGGTTGTGGACAGAAGAAAGAGGGTTGGGGTCAGCCTGTGCTTAGACTGAATCTGAGCTTTCTTCCCTAGAAAGTACAGTGTTGAGTAGCAGTTCCTCTGGAATGTGGACATAAAAATTCTTACCATCCATATTAGGTTGAATAATATGGACTATCCTGGGCCCTGGGAGGTGCTTGGTTATTGGGGGGTTGACTGCTGTCTCAGAGCCTTACCTGACATCACCAATGATAGGATGTTTGGCTTTTTGTTGCCTGAGAAGCTCCATCAGAAAGCTGCCCACACAGGTAGCATGAGCCTGCAGTTGCTCCTTCTCTAAGACATCCAGGACTGCCAGCCCCACAGCACAGGACACTGGGCTGCCCCCAAACTGAGCCAGGGGACAAAATATGTCAGATACCCAGTAGAGTGGGCCACACACCGCACAGAATTGCTACACTTCCAAAGGAAGCGACTGGAGCACAGGGCTCAGAGTTCTCAGTAGACTGAGCTCCTGTGGTCCCACTGGATGTCCTACTTTCTGTGGCTTCAAGCCAGGTCAGGTATCCCTGGAAATGCAGTTGGGAGCCCCACAGAACCACTGGAGAAGGTGTGTTTCAAAAGAGCTAGTGCCATCCCATCCTCCTTCAGAGGCCTTAGGGTGGCAAGTCATTGGCTGTGCCCAGATCCACAGCACTGGACTGTACCCATCACCTCTGTAAAGGAGGGTTCATAACAGCACACCACAAAGCTTACCAGGGAAGTCACTCTGGGTGGCATAAATTCACAGCTCTGTTGGCTGACCCTGGAATACCCCTGCATTTTATTTGGCTTGTATGGCATTTCTAAGCTTGTGAATTGGGTTCATAAATTCTTGCAGGAGACTTCATACCTTTATTTCTGATGAAACAAACATGGCCTATTTGGCCACACAAGGACCAAGCAAGATCAGTGGTTCTCTTCAGGCAGTGAGTGCATTAGCTTGCTTTTCCTGTCCAGCCTGACCCCACAGGTGTCTGAATGGGACCTGTGTTTTAAAGGATCAGAAGCCCAGTGACTCCTGAGGTAGGGAGATCACAAAAAGGCCAGCCTCAGCAATTTAGCTAGGCTCTAAGCAACTTGATGAGAACATTTCTCAAAAAACGGACTGAGGCTGTAGCTCCATGATAAAGTGCTCCTGGGTTCAATCCCCTATGTTACAAAAACCAAGCTTTGGGGCTGGGTGTGTACCTCAGTGTTAGTGTGCTTGCCTAGTTTGTGCAAGGCCCTTGAATCAATCCCCAGTACTGCTGAAAAACAAAAACCAAGAAATTTAGGCATAACAATAAATAATGATTTTTTTTTAAGTGTAAGGTTGAATGCAACTTCCTCCACGATGGCTACAGAATATTTCCATCACTCCTCCAAGTTTCTTGTACTCTCACTCCTTCACTATTAGCTCCAGGCAAGCATTGACCTGCTTTCTGTCACTCTAGCTTTGCCTTTTCTAGAATGTGATTTAAATGGAATTAAAGAATTATATATCCTTGTGCCTAGCTTTTGCTCATTGTTTTTGGAATTTGTCCATACTGTTATAAGTGTCAGCAATCTGTTCATTTTGTTGTATAATTATTCCATTTTATGGATCTGCCATAATCTGTTTATCAATCTTCGGTTGATGGATCCTTTGGTTATTATGAATAAAAATCCTATGAATATTTGTACACAGTCCTTTTGTAAAAACTATGTTCTCATTTTGCTTAGGTAAATAGGTGTGGAACTGTTTGTTGGGTTATAAGGTAAATGTATATTTACATGAAAAAAACTGCATTCCCATCAGTCTGAGACTCCAGTAATGTCTTACTCGACATTTCATTATCATTTGGAATTATCATTTTTTTTTATTTAACATGAACTACAGGTTGATTAATCCTTATCCAAAATCTGAAACTTTACCCCACTCCCCATATTAGGGATTAAATCCAGAGCCTCATGCATGCTAGGCAAGTGTTCTACCATTGAGCTACAACCTCAGCCCTTTTTAATTTTGTATTGTGAGACAGGGTCTCGCTAAATTGTCAGGCTGAGAACTTGAGATCCTCATGCTTCAGCCTCCTGAGTTGCCTGGGATTACAGGCATGTGCCACCACACTTGGCTACAGCTCAGTAATTTTGAATTTGAAGACTAGAGTGAGAGGGCTGTGATTGTGGCTTAATGGCAGAGCACCACTTGCCTCACACATATGAGGCAATGGGTTTGATCCTCAATACCTCATAATTTATCTACAACTAAAAAAATATTTTAAAAAAAAGCCAACTTGTTAAAAAAAAAAAAAGACCAGGTGAGAAAACCCCCGAGGAAAAAGTGGGGGAAACAAATATAAAACGTAAATAAAAACTAAGTTATATGGAAGTGCTAATATCTGAATAATAGAAGTCTTAGAAGGAGAACAATGATATGAAAATGTGCAAGTAGGGGCTGGGGTTGTGGCTCAGCAGTAGAGCTCTCGCCTAGCACATGCGAGGCCCTGGGTTTGATCCTCAGCACCACATATAAATAAAAGTTTTGTGTCCCAACTACAACTAAAAAATAAATATTAAAAAAGAAGAATGTGCAAGTAGTTGAAATAGATCTGGAATAAAAAAAAAAACTACCTCAGATGTAAAGAATTCACAGAGTATCAAAAGGAGAAAGGTGAAATGCATATATGGACATTATAAAAATTTAAAATAATAAAGACAAAATAAATTTTCAAGCTGGGTATAGTGGTGCATGCCTGTAATCCCAGCAATTTGATGGGTTGAGATAAGAGATTGCAAGTCTTAGGACAGATTTGGCAACTCAGCTAGACCCAGTCTCAAAAAGAGTTAGGGATGTGGCTCCGTGGCTCAGTGGTAGAATACCTGGTGTTATTCCCCAGTACTAAAAACAAGGAAAACTGCAGAAATTTCCAAAAGAGCCAATTGCATAAAAAAGGAACAAGAATTGATGACTTAAAATGATAGTGATGAAAGTGACAGAATAAGGTCCCTGCCTCCCCCCCCTTCCAAAATTCTCTCCTCCATAAAAGGAACAATACTAGCAAAACCCATCAGAACTCAGGAAATGGGTTTGAAGCGTCTTTGGAAGCCCCATTCTTTGGGAACTCTTGACCTTCCTGGTGGCTCCCTGGAAGACCTCACACAAAAGGGGGAATTTATTTGACACTGGAGGAGTTTGCCCAGTGTGAACAGCCTTTTTTCCAGTGTATTTGTTGATCAGAAGCAATAGTTTAACATCGTGGCTCACTATTGGGACAAACAGTAGATTAATAAAAAAAAAATAAAATAAAAAGTTGGGAAATGAGATGTCTGTAGGGACTCTGAAAAGCTAGCTCTGACATATTCCTGGTAATTTAAGGGTCATGCATATACTTAGGAATATGCTCAAGCCAAATATATGTGTATGTTCAGAAAGAACTGAAAAGCCCTAAACTCACCACTGGAAGGATTGCTCAAGTCCAGGAATTCAAGATGAGCCTGGGCAACACAGCAAGATCCCATCTCAAAACCAAACAACAAAAAACAAAAAGCCTGTAGAAACGTGTGGACACAATCAAGTAGACTAACATACAGTCCCAGAGGGGGAGAGAAGAGGCAGAAAACATTTAGTAAAAAGTCCTGTATAACTTAAAATGGACAATGTTTTGTTGTCCCCTCAAAATTCTTAGGTTGAAATCCTAACACCCAATGTGAAGGTATTAAAAGGATAGGTAATCAGGTCATGAGGGTTGAGCCTTCATAAATAGGATTAAACTTTTTAAAAAGAGTCTCCAGAGACTTCTCTTGCCCCTTCCATCATTTGATGGTACAGTGAGAAGTCAGTTTTCTGTGACCTGGAAGAGGATCCTCACCTGAGTTCAACCATCATGACACCCTGATCTTAAGACTTTCTGCCTCTAGAACTGTGAGAAATTTTGGTTGTGTTTGAGCCACCCAGTCTATGGTAGTTTGTTATAACAACCCAAACTGACTAAAACAACTTCAAGCAGCAATTAAGGCTGGGAGCAGTGACACACTCCTGTAATCCCAGTAACTCAGGAGGCTGAGGCAGGAGGATTTCAAGTTCAAAGCCAGCCTCAATTCAGCAATTTAGCAAGGCCCTAAGCAACTCAGTGAGACCCTTTCTCTAAATAAAATATAAAAAAGGGCTGAGGGATGTGGCTCAGTGGTTAAGTACCATTGGGTTCAATTCCTGGTACCAAAAGAAAAAAAAGCAATTAAGTTTCTTTTCACAAAACACAAGGTTCAGATTGAGTTTTTACCAAACTTTCAAGGAACAGGTCATTCCAATTTTATGTAAAGGGAAAGAATACTTCCTAATTCATTCTACAAGGCTAGCAAAACCCAAGTTACAAGAAAAAAAATTCTAGTTAAATTTTACTTCTGAAAATAGATGCCAAATTATAAATAAAATATAAGGAAGTAGAATATAATAGTGCATAAAAGTGAGAATATCCCACACTCAAGCTGGATTTGTCTCAGGTGTATAAAGATGGTTTATATTAAAAATACAGCTGGGCACTGGTGGCACATGTCTGTAATCACTGTGATCTGAGAGGTTGAGGTAGGAGAGTCTCAGGTCAGCTTTAGCAACTTAGACTCTATCTCTCCCACTTATGTATGTTATGTATGACCTTTGGTTACTAGATGGAGGTAGCATATCATATATAATCATATAGGGTTGGGAATGTAGCTCAGTGGTAGAGTTGCCCTGGTTCAATTCCCAGTGTTGCTAAAAACTAAAAAAAACTAAACCCAAGCAAATATTATCTATTTATTGAGGTGCTAGAGATGAAACCCAGGGCCTTGCATATGCTAAACATACATTCTGCCACTGAACTACACACCCTCAGGCCACAAACATCATCCTAAATGGACAGATACATGCATTCCCATAAACTGAACAAATATGCCTCATGTCCTATTATTTATTTTGTAGTGGAAGCCTCTCATCCTGTGTAATTAAACAGCTGACATTATTTGGTGATAAGATTATTTATACAGGAAAAAACAACAAAAAAACTTCCTGTAATTCTTAGACATAATAGAATTTAGCAAGAGAATGTGGATAGTCCATAGTTTTTCTTTTTTGGTATTAGGGATTGAACTCGGGCACTTGACCACTGAGCCACATCCCCAGCCCTGTTTTGTATTTGTTTAGAGACAGGGTCTCACTGAGTTGCTTAGCACCTCGCTTTTGTTGAGGCTGGCTTTGAACTTGTGATCCTCTTTGCCCCAGCCTCTCCAAGCCTCTGGGATTATAGGTGTGCACCACTGTGCCTGGCTCTGATTTTTTATAACAGAACCAAAAGTAAATATACACACAAGTCACCATTTATGATGGTGAATATATGCAATAAAAAATCTAGCAGTGTGCACGAACTTTTTTAAAAAATACCTTTATTTATTTTTATGTGGTGCTGAGGATTGAACCTAGTGCCTCACATGTGCTAGGCAAGCGCTCTACCACTGAGCCACAACCCCAACTCCTATATGTAAGATCTTTATAGGGAAGATTATAAAACATGGAAAGTTACACCATGTTCCTGAATAGGAAGATTCAATATTGTAAATAAAGCTTTTCAAATTGACCTATAGTTCAAGCAGTTTCCCTAACAAAATTCCAACAGGGCATTTCTTAAAGTGTTTATAAAGTGAGAGAGAAAACATTTCTTGAAGTGTTTATAAAGTGAGAGAGAAAAAGTGGTCAGGAGTAGTCAGAACTCTTCTGAACATGAAAAAATGGTAAGAGGGACCTTCTTTATATCAGATAAGAACATATTATGAAGCTCATAACAGTAATAAAGTAACGTGATTACAAGAAGAGATAGACAAGTTAATCAAAAGAGTAGAAATAAACAAGACCCACTTATGTATGTTAATGTATGACCTTTGGTTACTAAATGGAGGTAGCATCAGTGAAGTATAAAGGAATCAGAGAAAAATGATGATTCCTGATGTACACCCTACATTAACTCCAGACAGATTAAGGACTTGTATGTCAAAACACTTAAAATATTGATAGTATATTTTAGATATTTAGATCTCGAAGTAGGGAGAGATTTCTTTGACAATAAATGAAAAACTATAATAGAAAAGATAGGTCAATGATGTTAAAAATTGAAAACTGGTTTATCATAAATACAAAAAGTTGAAAAGCCAGGTTATTAACTGGATGAACATATTTATAATATACACATTGACAAAGAATTAGTTTCAAGAATATATAGAGGGGCTGGGGCTGTAGCTCAGTGGTTGAGCACTTGCCTAGCATGTGTGAGGTACTGAGTTCGATCCTCAGAACCACATATAAATAATAAATAAAGGTATAAAAAAACAACATTTAAAAAAAGTATATAGATATGTTTGTGTAGGTATACACACAAACATACAGACACATGTGTATACAGATATACAAAATTCCCACAAATAAGAAAATCATCAATAATTTTAAAATATGAAAAAAACATGCATTTCACAGAAGAGGAAATGCATGGTTAATAAAATTAGGAGATGCTTCATATAATTTGAAGTCAGGGAACAGCATACCAAGTCCATATTGGCTACCATTCTACATGGCTCTTAACTGGCAGAAACTAAAAGGTGTTGATGAGGACATACATTGCCGGTGAAGGGTCTTGTGAACTATTTTGGAAAATTGATGCCATTGTCTCTTAAAATTGAGGGTGGATACAACCCCTGTGACCTGGCAGTCTTACTCTTAGGTTAATTCATAACCTATCCTTTCACTTCTAAGAAAAACTCGGCACATAATTGCCAAAACATGGAACAACTTCAAAGCACATTAATGGGAATGGATGAATAATCTGTGGTACGTTAACACAGTGAGTATTATAAAGCAAATTACAGTGAAAAGCAATATGGATGAATCTTAGTAATACAATGCTAGGTGAAAACAACAAAATCCAACTAAATTCAGCAAACAACTAGAATAAATAATGAACTTGGGATTTGGAGTGATAGTTATCTAGGTGATGGAGGCAATGAGATGGTTTGGGGCCAAATAAAAGAATAAATGTAGGTTATCATCAAGGTCCTAACTTATTTGAGATGATGTCCTCCCAAGTTGTTTGTAACATCAATAAGGTAACCAGGTAAATTGTTAACTTGAAGAATATGCAGGGACAGATGATGAGAGTATTTTATGAAACAAGGGTTATACTTAAGTCTAGTTATGTGCACTTGATGTTCAAGTAAAACAAATATATGAAACAAAAACTCCAGGATCAAGCTTCACTGTGTCATTGTCTTTCATCAAACACAACACTTTCTTTTTACACAGCGAATACCTGCTCATTATTCCAGATTTGGCTTTGGGCTCATTTCCACACAATGCCTTCATCACTTGGCCTACCTCCTGTCTGGGGCGCCCCCTTTGCTCTCACAGTGCCATGAACACTATTTCCATTAAGTCATCTTCCACTGATATCATGATGGTACCATGACCCTGTCTCCCCTTACAGTGAGCTTGTTCAGAGGGCACAGGCACTGTTTGTGTCACTTGGGCACACAGTGACAGTCTGCTGAAAGCACCAGCCAAAATGTTACTTTTTTTTTTTTTTCCCTTTCGGTACTTGGATTGAACTCAAGGCCTCAAGCATGCTAGGCAAGAATGGGACCATTCTTTACCACTGAGCTATATCCCATCCCTTTTATTTTAATATTTAACCCAGGGGCTCTCTACCACTGAGCCACAGTCCCAGTTTTTTTTTTTTTTAATTTATTTTGAGATAGGGTCCTGCTAAATTGTCCAAGCTGGCTTCAAACTTATGATACTCCTGCTTCAGCCTCCTGAGTTGCTGGGATTACTGGCTTGCACCACTGTACCCAGCATTTCCCTCACTCTCAATGACCTTCTCTGCCTTATTTAGCCATCCTGAAACTGGTTTAAGCTCTGGAATGTTTTGATCTCTAATTCAAACTGCCTCTTTTTGACAGTTTAGTGGGTCCTCAGCTCTGTCCTTTCCTGTTCTTCCTGTGGCCTAAGCACAGATTTGGGCCTCCTTTCCTGCCTGTTACAGTCTTCTGTGATTCTGTCTGCATCTTTCCAAAAATTACTTCAGACCTCATCTTCCATGATTAAAACCCTCTCACTGGAACTCCAGGTGTAGCTTAGTGGTAGAGTGCTTGCCTAACCTGCAAGAGTCCTTGAGTTCTGTCCCCAGTACTGCAAAACAAACACACCCTTCACAGTTCCTCACTGCCTTTGGATCATTTTAGATTGTCTCTGCAATGAAACTATGGCTAACCACCATGCTCTACTTGCTTACACTGTAATCTCCATCTTGGGAGCCATTGAACAAGCTATTGGGTCAACTTCAGTTATCACAAAGACAGAAAACATAAAGCTACCCTCTGACGTGAAGTCTGTTCCTGGGTTATCTGTTTCCCTAAAATACTCAGCTCCTCATGCAGCTGCTCAGCTTTCTGGCTCCAGCACCTGCCATAGGGCCTAGCACACTGTAGGCAACTTTGCACTGGGTATAGTACTATCCCTGCCACCTTTACTATGGGTAAGCTGGAGTCTAGTAAAGCCCATGGTATTCCATTGCCCTGGAGCCTTCACTCACCGTGTTGAAGTATTCGACGCCGGTGGCTTCAAATGCCCTTGACACAGCTTGGGTGGTGGCCACGCAGGCAATTGGGTGGCCATTGCCAATGGACTTGCCCATGGTGACAATGTCAGGGACAAAGTCTTCCCCCTGCAGCTGGAAGGCCCAGAAGTGCTTGCCTACTCTGCCAAAGCCAACCTGGATCTCATCTGCGACAAAGACCCCTCCAGCCCTGTGGATGTGCCTGTGGTGGAGGACAGATGGCCATCGGGGCTTTGGTGAGAGGAATTTAACCAGGAGTTGGGAGGTCTTAGGGCTCTGAACCTGGATCTGCCAGCAGAAAGGTGGGGTGGTGGAGGGCAGGGGGAATGGGCAATGGGTAGCCTTCTCTAGGCCATCATTTCTTTAAAATATTCTGGCAAGCAGGTCAGGCTGTGGTTGGGATTAGGAACACAGTTTTCTGCCCTCCCTTGAGCAGGTGCTGCCCACCTACTTACTCTGCTACTTGGGAGAAGTAACCAGCAGGGGGAATGATCTGCCCTCCCACGCTGGGCAGAGACTCCATGAAGAAGGCTGCAATCTGTGGATGAGACACACATTGGGAACATCACCATGCAACTCGGTGTGCCCTGCTGATGCTGGCTCAGCATCAGGACCAGATGCCATCACTGCTGTACCCTCCTTTGGAGCCCAGAGGAGCCCATGTCACATCTGATGGTTTGAGACTCGGGTTTTCTTTTAGGTTTCAAACCAACACTTACATATGGATGCCTCCGTCCCCTTGTTCTTGGTGTGTCCCTAACTATAAATTCACTGGTATGCCTGTTCCTTCCTTCTCCTCTCTGGTGACCAGTACCAATCTCATCCCTCCTGCCTTGGACAAATAGGGTCCCATTCTTGATTGCTCCCTCCCTCATCTAATCAGTCATGCAGACATGGATTCTACTTCAGTAACATCTCTGAACTCACTACTTCCTCTATGACATGCCTGCCTCCCAGAGGACTTGCCTGTTTCTGCCTTGGCTTCATCGTTGTCATCTACTCAACTGGACACTTCTACAGTGTCTCTCTCACAAGACCACAGGGGTGACACTACAAGCCAGAAGGTTGAACTCTTTGCTGTCCTGCTTAAAACCCTTTACTGACCCCTCTGCTCACAGCCATGATTTCCCAACTGTGTTCTGCCTGGGAACTGCTTCAGAGGCCATTGGTAGGATGTGGGGAGGGCTGATTGGGAAACTGATCCTCTACCTCTGCTGCAAACAGCAATGTTCTTTTCAGGTTTTATGGAAGTGGCTGCAAGCATCTGAAATCTACAGGTCAGACTTTCTTGGTCTGGTCCTGCTAACCCTTCTGGTCCCACAGCCCACCGTTCTTTGCCATGTATCCTGTGTTTAACTCTGTCACTCCTTCAGTGAAGTATTCCAGAAAGTCTTCACCCCAGTCACCAAAACTGCCCTTTGTGGGTGCTGTTCTGGGTCATAGCACATTTCGCCTGTTTCTGCCTGTCCACTCCATTTCCACTATACTGCCCTGGTCAGGCTTCCCCATTGCTCACTTAGAACCAACACAGCCTCCTCAAGATCCCTCCTCTAAGGATATCCCATTCACATCCATCCCACACAGCTGGGATGGATGAGAGAACAGCTCAGCCCTGTTATCACTCTCCCTCTTAAAGCCCTTCACTGACACTCATGGTCTCCAGTGCAGAGTTCCAGGCACTCAGCACAGCATTGGGATCCCCTGGCAGATGGGTCCTGTCTGCCTCTTCAGGCCCACCTGTCTCCACACCCACAGTTCCTCACCTCTGCATAGGCTATCCTGTTTAGGAGGCCCTTCTTCCCCTGCTCCCCGCCTTGAGTAGCTAATTCCTATTCACCTTTTACTATTGCAGTCAGGTACCTTCTGCAAGGACCTGCCTTCGTGCCCACATAAGTCCTCCCTGGGCCTTGGATGCCTATAACATCTAGGATGTTCTCACCAAAATTCTTGGCTGGGCACCTATTAGTCCCACCTCATGCACACACTAAATTCCAAGAGGGCAGGGCCTCATTCTGCTTTCCCTCTAGGCATCCAGCACAGCGCAGGTAACAGTGGTGGTGACATTCACTGGACTGTTGAGGGTGTGGTTACCTTCCTGCCCTTCTCCTGTGCATTGCTGACAACACGTTTCACTTCATTGGCATAGGCCACAGCTGGATTGGGATGGTCCTCTCGGTAAGGGCCCCGGTAGGTGTCTGGGAGAGGTGCCTGTAGGGAGTACAAGCACTGTGTCATTCTGGCTTTGGGGTGGGCACCAACCTGTTGCCATTGTGGGTAGTGCATACCACATGGACCCACTCCTTCTGGCCATCCAGGTACCGGAACTTGTATGGACTGATGTCAATCAGGGAGCTCAGGTGACCGTGATAAGCACTGGGGAGAAAAAGGGAGGGCTCAGGCCCCAGTAGCACCTTCTTATGATCTAACCCTGACCACTGTCTATCCACTGCCAAAGGCAACACAAAGGCCCCCAGCTCTTGGGCTGGGAACAAGCATGGGCCTTGTAGTAAGACTTCCTACAAGGCCACTAACTGGCCATGTCAAAATACTGATTGCTTAATCTCTCTGGGTCCAATTATCTCCTCTGTGAAGTGTGTTTGTGGTGTCTCCTTCAGGGTATAATGTATCTTAATTGGGCTAATGCTCTAAGCCCAGGCCTGGGTCTTCTGCACATCAGATACTCAATATATAGGAGCTACAGGTGGAACAGTTTGAATATCTAAATGAAGGACTTTCAATTCCTTACAAAGCATGTCCTCCTCCCCAGGAGCTGCCCTCCCGGGACAGTGGCCTGATTAGATAGAGTCCCTGGGAGGTATCTTTGGGGCGCAGTCCTGTGCCTATCATGTTTCAAGGTTTTCATCCTCTGTCTAAGGTAGCCAAGGTCAAAGTCTTATTGATCCTCAATAAGCCTATGGGCCTGGAAGTGGCAGGCAGGGCTATGAGTTTCACTTACTGGTCTAATACCACCACGTCCTGGTGTCCCGTGTATTGGCGAGCCAGCCGCAGGGCCAGGTCATTGGCTTCTGACCTATAACAGTAAAGGTGGGCATGGCTTGGACAGTCACTCAAAGGTTCTCCACAGAGAAACCATGTGAACAGAGGAACCCTTCCAGCAGCAAGAAGATTCTTGGACTTCATTCATTTAGTCATTTGTTTGATAGACATAAAGTGCCTCCTATATGCTCAGCCCTGTTATCACCCTCCCTCTTAAAGCCCTTCAGTGACACTCTGGGGTAAAAAGAGTAGGTAAAACAGGAGGCCCTGGCCTCCTTGAAACTTACATTCTGATGTGCATGAAAGCCAAAAAAACAAAGAGTGATCATTTTTGTAAGTGCTAGCTGTGGGTCCAGCGTACTAAGGGAGAATCGGATGGGTGCTACTTTAAATAACAGTGTGTTAGAGGTTGAACTGTGTTGCTCCAAAATTGTTATGTTGAAGCTCTAACTCCCAGTGTCTTATATGTGACTTTATGTGGAAATAAAGCTTTTGAAGAGGTAGGGTAAAAGAAGGGCTTCAGTATATCCTGATCCAATCTGACTGGTGTCCTTAGAAGGAGAGGAAATCTGGATGCACAGAGACATCAGGGATGTTTCCACACAGATGAAAGGCCATATGAGGGCACAAGAAGGAGACAGCTCTCTGTGAGTCAAGGAGAGAGGCTTCAGAAGAAACCAATCCTACTGACACCTTGATCTTGGACTTTTTGCTTCTTAGAAATATGATATAGTACACTTCATTGCTGAAGTCCCCTAGTCTGACATTTTGTTATGGCCACCCTAGCTAGGGTCAAGGGTGGCTCTTTAAGGAGGTAACACCTGAGTCTTGAGAGAGACCATTCCAGGCAGAGGGAACAGCATGCACAAAGACCCTGATGGAGGCAGGAACTTGTGTCAGAGAAGCAAGAGAAGACAAGCAAGGCCAGAGCCTAGGGAGGGCAAACCAGGAGAAGTGCAGAGTGCTGCAGGGGCCACATTCACAGGGCTGGGAAGGAGCCTGGGTTTTCTTTTCAGTGTCAACAAAGCCAATGAGGAGTTTTAATCAGAGAAAGCACATGATTCAAATCCCATTTTAGGAGGCAGTCTGTAGCTATGTGTCAAAAGGGAATGAAAGCAGAAGTGAGGAGACCTAGGAGGTCCAGGTGAGAGCAGGGGATGGGGAAGTGCTTGGAGTAAAGGGATTTTTTGGAGACAGACAAGATGGGACTGAAGCAGAAATGCATGTATTTCATTTCTGCCTTGAGCAGAGATGTGGATAGTGATGCCATTTATGAGGTGAGCTGATGTGAGGATGGCAGTGGTGGGGCTGGGAAGGCCGGGAGTCGGTGGCTGGGAACATCAGGGAGAACCAGTGTAATGGTCTCACACTAGGTGTCGCAGAAGACATGTCTTGATTGTTTCTGGATATGTGAAGTTGGAGACGTTTGTCAGATGTCAAATGAACAAGTTAGAACCTTGAGTCTGGGACACATGGGAAGCATCTGGGCTTGTGATATAAATTGGGAGTCAGCAGCACACGGATATTTAATGCTGAGGTAATGGATGAGATCATGGAGCAAGAGGACTCAAGAGAGAAAAAAAATGGCCCAGGACCAGTCCAGAGGAATATAGCAAGAGGTACTGACAAAGGATTCAGAGGAGGAGTGGCCAGAAAAGCTGTCAGGATACCAGGAAGGCACCAGAAACCAGAGGAAAAATTTTCCAGAGCACGGTCACTCTGTCAAATATTGCTGGAAGACAGATAAGTCAAAGGTAGCCAAGATTACTGAATTTGGTAACATAAAAGTCATTGGCACCTATACACAATGAATTTGGTGGGTTAATAAGCCAATAGGAATAGCTCTTCCTCCTCTGCTGAGAAAGTACCAACCCTGCACCAATTCCCTACTCTTCCAACTGGGGTTCCAGTTTAGTCTGTCACTTCTTAGCTCCTTTCTTTGAACTGTTTCCTTATCTGTCAAATTAAGATGGTAAATTTTACTTCCTAGAAGTAATGCAGGGAACTGATGAATGATAAATGGCAATGGCAATAATAATCATCATTACTAGGCTGGGCAAGTGCTCAGTGGTAGAGAGATTGTCTACCATTTATAAGGTTCTGGGTTGCTTCCATACCACCATAAAAACAAACAAAAATCACTACTATAATCCAAATGCCACTACCTACAATTGTTGGAATATTCTTTCTCAGATATGCCATGATCATCTGCCTGATTCTGCTGTCACTGCCACTCTCATTGTAAGCTACAATCACCTCTTACCTGGCCCCTGAATTGGCACCAAACCCTGTCAACTCTTGCTTTCTGCCAGCCCTGATGACATCACTTCCCTAATTAAACCCCTCTGATGTCTTCCCAGTGCTCTGAGGATACAGTGTCCTCACTTGATGGATAAGGTCCTTGGGTGATGGGCCCTAGGTCCCTCTCCAGAGTTAGCTCACACCCTTTCCTCTTCCTCTTTCAGTTCTTCAAGTGTGCCAGGATGCTGTGCCCCTTCCTATGACAGGGCCTTTGCACAAGTTGTTCTGTGTGGTGACCGACCTAGACAAGAGTATTTGTGGTGGAGTAGGCAGCACCCTTCCTTCCTTTTCCCCTAGTTTTCTCCTGAGCTTTTAGCTTAACATTGTTTCCTCAGGGAAACCTTCCTGACCTTCCAGAACAGGTCAGGTCCCCCCAAATTTTTGGGCCTCATTATACCATATGCTTTTTCTCCAGACAATAACTTTTCTTGGTAATTTTATATTTCTTTGAAGAATCATTTGATGTTTCTGCTTCTACTAAGCAGGGGTCTTTGGGCCTTATGGAAGGCAGAAATAAAGGAACACATTAATTCATCAAGCTCCAACAATGATCCTGGAAGAGAGGCAATGACATCCTTTACTAAAAGAGAAGAAAACTGGATCCAACAGAAAAAGAACCAGGATCCACACTTAGGAAGCACAGGAGCCTCTCCCTGAAGCCTACACCATGCTGTGCCTATGTGAGTGATTCTTCTTTGGTGCCTCACTCTCTTGCTAGGGGCTGGCTGCAGTTCACTTACCCAGAATTCAGGAAATAAAACACACAGAGCTTCTCTGGCAGGGTCTCCGACAGCCTCTGTGCATAATCCACGATGTTGTCGTGAAGGTATCTGCTGTTGGTGTTGAGCACCTGGTTCTGTTCATGTGCAGCTTGGACCACGAGAGGGTGGCAGTGCCCGACTGCAAGAGGGCCACCTCCATCAAATGGCCGACTCCACTCGGCCAGTCCCACTGGGCCTCCCCCAGCCCCATTCTGGAAACCCAGCCAGGGGAGATGCAGTTACAAAGGGAGAGGTGGAAAGAGATGAGTTTAAGATGGGAGGGGGGGGGAGGCGGGGATGATGAATCTGGAAAGGAAGATCTAAAAAGAAGTTCCTGGGATTCCAGCAGAAGGAAAAGATTCTCTAGCAGAAATCCTATTTAGACAAACTATGCCTTTAAGAAGGCTTCTGTAGGCCTTTTCCTTGAGGGGCAAGGATCAGAGGTGATTGTCACATGGCTTGACTTGACCAGTTGGTGGGGGCTGGAGGTAATCTTTATTGCCAAAGGCCAAGGATAATAACAAGGAACATGCACTGAGAGCTTGCCTAATATCAGGTACATTCAAAACTAAATTTTTTTAGTTAACACACATAATTCTCCAGAACATTTGGAGGTGAATGTCTAGTAGTACATGGTCTATTATGCAGACGAGCAAATAGGTATAGAGAATGAAGTAACTTGTTCAAAATCACAAAGTTGGTAAGTTAGCAAAAGCTAGAGCCTTGGCTTTTAAAAAATATATATATTTTAGTTGTTGATAGACCTTTATTTTATTTATGTATTTATATGTGGTACTGAGAATCAAACCCAGTGCCTCACACATGCAAGGCAAGCCCTCTACCGCTGAGCTACAACTCCAGCCCTGAGCCTTGACTTTTAACCTGTTTTATTCACCTCCATTTTGCCTCCTAATACATGGACTCCTTTTCTTCCATCAGTTCTGGCAGTTCTAGCTGAATGACTGAATTTCTGCTTCAATTTCCTTATCAGCACCTGAAATGGTCAATGTAGCTGAATCTCTGCCATAATCCCTGTACTTGGCGACGGCTGTGCTGCAGTGCTGGTCATGGCTGGGCTGTCTGTCACTCTCTGAGCTCATCATCAGTCCCAGGTGGAACTGAATCCACACACCTAGACCTCTGACTCCTGCCTGGAGACTTCTACTGCTACTTGACAAAGACTGGGCGGTCTCTGCACATGGATGTGACTCAGCTCAAGCCAGGTTCTCTACAACTGGCATCAGATTCACAGCCTCAGCCTCCTCTCCTACCCCACCAGCCTGAGGTGATACTGACCATGAGCCACATTGTTGATGCAATCGATGTATTCTCCCCCTTGTTCATCATACAGGTACTGCCCTTGGCCACGGACAATCTTAACTGGATCCTCAGGGAAAAAAAGTCTGCAGGAAGAGCTGTGGGGACAGACCAGAGGTGGACAGCCATGTCTGAAGACCTGAAGGGACCACCTACCTCCTCACCTCTTCCTGGTTTCTGGAAAGAACAAAAACTTTAAGGACAAAGTGCTCTTTCCTTGCTGCCAGGCTCCACGTTCCATAGTGAAGAAGGAAAAGGATGGGGCAGGAAGTTGCTAAGACTTAAAATTGTTTAAGTCATATTAAGCCTCAGTGGCCTTGCTCATTTCCCTGTGTGCCCACATCAGTTGCTTAGATCCTGGGAAAAGGAAGCTGCCCTAGTCAGACCCACTGGGACCCTGTATGGCTGTATAAGGAATGGCACCCTTAGGTAGCTGTGTCTCAGCCCTAAAGATTCCTTGCCAGTTAAGTGGCCCTGTTGCCCCAGATGTGTGCTAGTCTTGAGCTCTGGCTGGAGGATGCCTTCTCCTCCCCTGCCATGTCCCACTGAGGGCCCCTCTCCCAGGTCAAGTGCATACTTCCTCTAACGCTGTGAAGGACTCCCCACCCCACCCTCCGTCTGAACTTTCAGCCCTCCGAGGATCACTCTCCAGTGGGCGAGGTCCGCCCAGATGCTAGGGCAAAGGCTGTCTCCCCAGGCGCCCGTGGCGAGAGCTGCGGGGCGGGTGACATCGGTTCCCGAGCCTCAGGGTGGGCCCAGGAGCCAGCGGGAAGCCGCTGCGAGGAAGCAGCTGCGGGAACCGCCTGCCCAGGGCTGCAGAGCTTCCGAACACGCGGGGTTGCGGCCCGGAAAAGGCCGTGAGGGGATGGGAAGTCGCGGGCTCTGTGCCGGAGGCGCGTGCACGTCGTGCGTGCGTGCGTCGTGCGTGCGCGCGCCTAGGTACCTGAGGAGCCGCTGCCGCAGGGACAGAGTGTCGGCCTTGGCGCGCTGATCCGTGGCCATGGCGCTGCGCTGTCAGTCGGTGCAGAGACGCTGCGCCGAGAGACTGGGCCAAGCGCGCTTGGAATCTAGGGCCCCGCCCCGGCCCCGCCCATTACTCCCCCGAGACTTTGGCCTCAAGTTTGCATCTCAGGCCCCGCCCCCAAGTGGCCCACTTCGCTTTAGTTCTTTCATTTTGGCAAACGAGCTTCGCAGGCTTCCGGCTAGCGAGTCATTCCTTGTCCTTCTCCCGCCAGGCCGGGTTTGCGTCCGCCCTTCCGAGTGCTGTCCTGGCTTTGGTTCCGGGACGCGCTTTTGGCGTACCCGCTTCACATACCCGTGCCGTTGTCTCCCCTTGCCCGGAAGAAGTGTCCCCAGGTGATCCCGCCGCTGCTCCCAGCGCCCGATTGAGCAGCACTCAACCCTGGCAGGCTACGCTTGGACGAGTTGCCGTCTCCGTGCATAAAAAATGATGCAGTGTGAGGATTAAATGAAAAATGTGCAAATGATATCCACCTGGGGCCTGGTATGCACCAGGGGCGGCAGAGTAGAAGACAGGCCTCTCCAGCTCCTGCAGGAGCAGCAGGAAAGTAGGGCACAAGGGGCATTACTGGGGCTAACTAAGTGCTGGACCTGATTCCTGCTGGAGTCCAGGCGGGGTGAATTTGAGAGGATTCAGTGTTTAGACTGGAAGAGAGTTGGGAAGTCTCCCGAGCTGTGTTATATTGTCCAGGAAACTGAGACCCAGGAAGGGAAAGGCCTTTGCTAAAGGCTTGACTCCAGTTTCAGGGAGTGAGAAGAAAAGATCTCAAGGGATTGGAAGCCTGGAGAGCAGAGAGGTTCTTCCTCTTCCTGGGGGCACGAAGACTTCCTGCCTTGAACCTTAGAACAAGGAAGAACTTGGGACTGCCTCCTGAGGACGCTGGGAAGGAAGGCTTACACTTACCCTTGCTGGTGTGTATCTATCTTCTCATGATTCCCAGCTCTCTGCTTGGCTTCCTGATTGCTGATTTCTTCTTTTCCTCATAAAATTGTAGACTGCTTAAGGCATTTATTAAAGAACATTCTTATATTCTTTTATTCCTTATGTTTTTTATTGTGGTAAAATACACATAACAAACTTTACCATTTTAGCCATTTTAAGGGTACAATTCTGTGACAGTAAGTCCATTCCCATTGTTGTACAATGGTCGCCATCATCCACCCACAGAACTTTGTCATCTTCCTGAACTGAGTTTCTTATTTGTATCTGTACACCATTCTTGAAAAAATTCTAAAATTAACCATGAGAGGTTAATTGTTTATGGCATGTACTTCTTTTTTTGAGGGTCAAGGCCCCTTGTGTGTGTGAATGAGACTGCGGTCAATGGTTTTCTCAATGTACTGGCTCCTCCTCTTTGCTGGAGAGACCCATGTTCCTCTCTGCCCTGCAGTTTCAGTTTTTAATGTGTGTGTGTGTGTGTGTATGTGTGGGTGTGTGTGGTGGGGGGAGGAAGGGAGAGAGGAGAGAAAGTCCTGCCTGATTTCCATCTTCAGTGTTGTCTTACAGCCTAACATCCAGCCACAGGCATAGCCTAGGGCTGCTCAGAGCAGTCAGGTTGGCTCAGGGGCTTTCCTGCCATGGAGCAGAGGGCAAGAAGGCTGTACCCAGGATCAGCGAACATCTTACCTGCCCCTGGTTATCCAGGGTCAGGGGCTGATACAGTTGAAGGTCAGACCAGACTGGGACATTTCCTGGTTCAGATGATCTATCTATAGCTTCACTCTCTCCCTGCTCAGAAGAAGTCCATTCCTTTCTGCCTCTGGCCCATGCTAAGCATTTTCCCATATGTTATCCCATGTGTGTCCTCCAAAGCTACACTGGAAGCAAGAGGGCATGGGATGGGAGGAAGGGGCTGAGCCAAGACTTGAACCTGTGTTTCTCAACTGGCATTCTTAGTGAGATGATTCATTGTTGGGCAATGAATTCATTGTTGGGCAGAACTGTCCTGTGCATTTCAAATGTTTGCTGTCCCTGGCTCTGCTTACTGAATGTCAGGAATGGTCTCCAATAATTGTGACAATCCAAAGCCTCCCCTGCATTTCTAGTGGTATCATAGGGATGAGGAGGAAGTAAACTGGGTAAGCCCCCCTCTCCCAGGCCTCAGATTCATCTGGAAAAGGGTATAGTGGTCCTTGCTGTTAGTTTAGCTCTCAGTAAATATGCTTTTCTATCTTTTGGAAGAGAAAAGATTGAAGCAGAGCTACCCTTCTTGGCAGGGAGCCCTGAAGCCCCCTTCTCAGTCCTTGAGGCTCAGCAGTGAGGCAAGGTGCTCTGCAGTGTCTCAGCTGGGACCTTGAACTAGTCATTCAATCTCCTACAGCCTCTCCTCCTTCACCCAAGCTGACTCAGCAGGTTCTACATACTGATGTTGGCAGCTGAGTTTGTATACTGGAGGATAGGAGGAATGGGGACACAAGGGGGCAGCAACGAGCCAAAAATAGTCCCATCCAGTCCAATGGGGTAGTAAATTGACCCCCTTAGTTGTCTGAGGAAAAAAAAAAAGTGGCTTCTATCCCCACAAAGATCTACCTGTCAGCTACCCAGTATCATGGGGATGCCTTGCATTTTCCATTCCTACTAAAGACAAATTGGAGAATACCCAAGAGCCTGGGTCCAAGCCTGCCACTCCATCCTGGCCGTGCATCCCTGGGCAGGTGAGAGTCCCCTCTGATACTCAGTTTTCCCATATGAAAAATGGACCTAGTGTCGCCTACCTCATAAGCCCCATCCCTCACAAGTCTAGGGAGGATATCAAGTGAAGTTCCTGGTTGGAGGGAGGAGTGAATTGCTAACTGTCAAGCGTAGATTTAGTAGGTTATGGGGACTCAAAAGGAGGCATTGACACCCAGAAGTTTCCACCAGTCATCGAGTTCACTGTGTTTCTCCTCCTTTTCCTACTTCTGGCTTCCCTGGTGAGCCAGTAGACTGGCTAAGCAGCACGGCCTGCTACTTATTACCAGCTCCTGAAGAGGTCAAAGATAGGGACTTGACATATTCTTCCTTCCTCACTCTGAGTATGACTGGGCTGCTGTGCTTAGCAAGGAGGGCATACATTTGGGGTCTTGTGGTGTGGGGGGAACTACCCATATTGTAGCCCTCCTTAGGCCCCAGACCTTGGGGAAAGGATGTCTGAGACACTCTACCTATAGGTCCCTTCTTTTCTATACCACCATGGATGTGCTTGGTTTTGTCCTCTGTAAAATGGGCATATTTTCTGGGTCCTTCTCTTAGGGATATTACAAGGCCCAGTTGACATTAGAGCTATGGAAATGCTTTGCAAGATTGGCTCTCGCTTGGTCTTAGAGTGGGGAGAAGAGAGGAAAATCTGAGTCCCCAGTGCTTCAGAGTGTCTGATCAGTCAGTCCTAGATTCTTTCTGTATTCCACAAAGTTGATCCTCATTGAACCACTTAGAGATATGTAATGCTATCTCCTTTTGTAGATGAGGTGGTAGGTGGCATTATCAAAGATGGCTGCAACATATAGTGTCCCACATTTTCTCCTTAAAATACGATCTTGCCACTTTTTTTCATTGAGAGGGTGGGTCTACCTCTCTATTTTCAAATTGGGTGAACCTCTGACTCTGGCCGAAAGTAATACCATATAACTTTGGAGGTTTGGGCATAAATGGTGACACAGTTTCTACCTGTCTTATTCACTTTGGAATCTAGCCACCACGCTGTGAGGAAGCCTGGACTACACATAAAGTCCAGATAGATATTCTGGCCATCTTGGGCAACATCAAGCAACAAATGTGGGAGACTTTCAGTGAACCACCCAGCCAAGCCGATTAACCCTCAGAACTGTAAGAGAAAAACAGAAACAGTCAATACTTTAAGGAAACAAGCAAGTTTCAGGGCAATTTTTTATGCAGCAGTCACTGCTAGCCACAGCAAAGAAGCACACAGGGGTTCCGTGACATGAAGCGACTGGCCTGAGGACTCTGCTGGTGTGTGGTAGGACCTGACCTTGAGCCTATGTCTTTAACTCCCCACCTGTCTCCCACCTGATCCTGAGCTACCTCCTTTGGTTTCTGAGGTGGCTTCAACCTAGGAACAGTCCCTTTCTCCTTCCCCAGCTTGCAATGTCCAGGGTGAAACCTCAGCCAGAAGTGCCTGGGGCCAGTCTGCAAGGACAGGCACACCCAGACACACATCTGTGGTCTGTTACACATAGTGATGCCCATCTACACAAAGAGGAGAGGAAAATAGCTAGGACAGAGCTGATCACTAGGACTCTTTGTTAGATGTGGCAAAGCCTTTCATCAGAGTGTGGAGGACTCAGTCACAGGCCCCCTGCTCAGTCTTGCTGGGAACACCAGCTTTGCAGTTTGCTGAGTCTGTACAACTCACTGTGAGACCCATTTCTACCAGGCTGATCAGTATTTTGAGCAGGAGACTTTGAGGCCAGTGAAACCCAAACTGAGCTGGAGGCTTATCTCTTCAGGGCCAGGAAAGTCCCTTCCTGTGGTGAGATGACAGGAAGTGGCAGCCATAAAATCTGGGTATCTCTGCACACTCAGGGACAACAGGCTCCCCACTGCTGCTGGCTCCACATTGCGCAATCACAGATTTTGGCTACTGCTGATGGCCAGAGGACATATATTCTCACAACAGACTGGCTTCTGAGGGCTACAGAAGTTGGTGGGGGCTAGACCCTCTTGGAGTGCATCGACAGTTTCCTAGGTCCAACTGTAATTGCTGATGGTAGTCTTGTCCTGCCCTGGGAAACCCAGGGTCTGGGGGTAGCGTGTAGTGATTGAGTCTGGAGGCTGGAGAGGCCAGAGCAGCTGCAGATGCTGTCCGAACATCATTGGGTACAGTGTGACCAGGGCCTCCGGGGATTAAGGGGACAGTAGTGAGTCTTGGATAATCAGGTGACTGAAGGCCCAACCCACTGTCTTTCCAGGCTCACCTGAGCCAGGCACTTTCACCTTCGTCTCCTTCCCAGGAAATCCAAGCCCCGCAGGTGCCCCTCAAGCACACAATTCCCCTGGATTGGCCTGTCCGCATTCCTGTTGGCGTCACCTGCTGATGGTTCTGGGGCTGGGTGGCACACTCTCGATTGTTAAAAGGCCACAGGTGGTGCATCCCATGAAAGAAGATCAATATATTACTGTTTTGTTTTTACAAAAATTAAAAATGTCCACACGGATCTGTACAAGTTGTGAGCTGGACCTGAGGATCACTGGAAAAGGAGGGAAAGACTACAGGTGATGAGGGGCCTGGAAGGTCCCTGGGGTCTTGCCTCTGCTTGGGCCACCCTGCTTTGGTAGCCCCCATCCCACTGTATTTGGGTGTGGCCCCATCCCCTCTTCCTAGGCCTTTCTCAGTAGGTTAGTTTGGACACCATGCAGTTGGGCAGAATCAGGGTTTCAGGAAGCACTGACAGCTCTGAACTGGCAGGCCAGGTGTCCACTAAGGCCTGTATGACTCAGTAGGGTGGGTTATACATAACCAGCCAGGACCATAGTCCCAATCCTTGGCCACGTGATGGGAGAATCAGAACCAGGGTCACCACAGGGAAACCTGGCTATTCAGTCAGTGTGTGGGATGCAGCGGATATCCAGAAGTGTGAGCAATGGTGTCCAGCCCCCAGGGCCCTCTCTGACCCTCCGTTTCCCCGCCCCCACTCTTCCCTGCAAGGTACCTTATGCCAGCATCCAGGCACTGGCAACCCATCAGGGCCCTGGAAAGGAAGAAGGTTCCAGTGATGAGAACGGTATTCTGGCCAGCCCTCCACATTCCACACACTCTGAGTCTGTGTGGAGATACAGCCCAGAAAGCTGCCAGGCTGCTGTACCCACTAAGGCAGGATGTCTCCTCTATCCATCTGGGGAATGGATGGCCCCTTACTGCACTTGTCCTAGTGTGTTCTCACCGTGCTTGTTGGGACAACTGTGCAGTTGGGCAGAATCAGGAGGACACTATGAAGTAATGGGCATTGTGCCAGACATTTGTTGGCCAGGAGGAGGGTCTGATCCTGGTCCTGTGGAGGGGCTTCTGGGCTTCCTGCCTGGCAGTGATGACAGTGGCTCTGACTCCTTAGCTTGGGGGTCTGAGAGCTTACAGGCCTTGGGCAGGAATGCCTCCAAGAGGAATTTAATGACAGGTCAGGAGGGGCATCTCTCTTGCATTCTGGCCCTGTGATGGGATCTGAGTGGCAGATAGGAGGGCTCAAGTTGTCAGGGTGGACTCTGGGCATGGGGGCTGGGGTTGTCTGGAGGCACAAGCAATGCTCACTCAGCCATCAGCCACAAATAGGGGGTGGGTTTCCTTAGGTGGTCTGGAGAGGGACAAAATGCAAGGTCTCTGGGGGATCCTGGGGCAGAAAACACTTCACTCTGTTCCAAAGCACAGACACAGGCTCAGACACACCGAGCATGTCCCCTGGACTCCTTCCATGCACATACCAGGGGTACAGGCTGGGGACAAAAGGGAAGGGGAGAATGGGAGAAGGGACAGGAAGTTAGAAGCAAGGAAGGGCGGGGGCAGATTGTGGGCACAAGCAGCCCAGAAGGCCCAGGACAGCACACATAGCAGTCCAGACCACGTACCACAGGGCAGGGCCCTCTGCCCTTTGCCAGGCTCCGGAAGCCCAGTGCCCCTCGCTTGCCTCCACATCGAGGATGTTCCTGTTTCAAAGACAAAGGCTGTAGGATGGATCCTCCTGCCGCTGGCCTTTTTGTGTATGCTTACCTGTCTGCTTTTTAAAAACTGACCTCTCAAAATCACTCAGAAGGAGGGGCTGCCACCCCTATTGTCTAGGTGAGGAGCCTGAGGCACAGGGCTAAAGTGACTCACGGAAGGCTGGAAGACTGGGTGGGGGTCCCTGGCTCTGAGTCCGCCTGCACATGTAGCTAGAGGTCCCTCTCCGTGAACCCCTGGCTGGGGTGGCTGGGGTGGCTGGGTATGGACATGTGGCTAGTTTTAGTATGGGGACCCAGCTGTTTTATTTCCCTGTCTTTTCTCCATAGGAAGAGTCTGACGCGTAAATCCTCCCGCCTTTTAGAAAATAGAACCTGCATGGTTGTTTCAGGCACTGGGCCTAGTGTGCTATCAAGGAGTACTTGTGAGGGAAAAGGAAAGGAGATAACATGGGAAGGAGGGAAGGGAAGGGGTTGGGGGCACATAGAGGGGATGTGGAAAAAGGGGTGGACTCCCCTGAACAGAAAAAGACACCTCTGGGAAGGAGAGGACAGAAGGGGAGTGAGAGGCCCCCAGGGAAGGCAGGGTGGTCCCACACTCTTCGATGGCTGAGGAAGCTCTGTCTGAGTCCAGCCTGGTCTCAAGCCTAGAAAGAGTCAGAACCTAACTGGGGCCCCAGGCAGCTAAGACCAGGAGACTGCGCATTCACTGGCCCTGTCCCCACAGCAGCCTGTCCACGACCATGGATGGGGCTTCCTTTCCTGGAACTTAGTTACCCTCCAAGGTGCCCTGATGTTACTGAGGACTCAAGAAAAAGCTAGCTCTGCTCTTGGCCTGGCCCCTAGCCCAAGATGTGTTCCCACTCAAGCCAGTTCTGCCCTGGGCTGAATAAGGAGGGGAAAGTGACTCTGGTGAACAAACTCTGGCCCAGGCTGGGGCCCCATCTCCATCGAGGGACTGTGTCCCTCAGCCATGCCCATTGAAGAGGGATCAGGACCAGAGCAAAAGGAGCAGTAGCCAGGTGCAGTGGTGCACACCTGTAATTCCAGCGACTTGGGAGGCTGAAGCAGGAGAATCGAAAGTTCAAGGCCAGCCTGGGCAACTAAACAAGACTCAGTCCCAAATAAAAATTTAAAATAAAAGGGCTGGGGATGTAACTTAGTGGTAGAGCAT